GCAAACTGAAAATGTTTGGTTTCCTGGTGTTTYCATGTGACCAACTGCAAGAACATGCAGCCAGCAGAGGACATCCAGCYAAATATAGGCCTGCAATAAAAGGGTACACAAGCACACGATTGAACTCAAATCCCTATTCTTACACGAGGAAATATGTTCACAACTGGAAAGAAATTTGGTTATGTCAAGTCAGTTCTWTTTTGATCTTCAAAAGCTGTTAACATTTTGCCTTGATGGTACACTAAGGAAATTACTTGGATCTTTTGGGGGGGTTTCCTTTGTTTCCAAAACTTTATTATTATTATTATTATTTTTTTAATTAAGAAAACAGAGTAAGTATCATCCCACACATATTGATCATGAAAAGAGCTGCAACAATTGGTTGATCAAGTATAAATAGGTGGCTTCTCTAAAACAGTTAATGATAAAATAGGTGGTTTTGAATTCTTTCTACCAAACCTTTGTTTGGATGTTGGCTTATCTTACAACGTTGGTGATTCATTTTCTKAGACTGAGTTCCAAACTTCAAACTAAAAGATGTATTTCATCCATAGGCTACCTGACACTCCACTTCAGTAAAGATATTGATTTTCTTTTTACTAGATGTTGTAAAAGGTCAGTGGTCTGATGAAAGCATTTCATTTCAAATAACATCTGACAGAAGCTCTTAGCCAATATTTAAAGACATGTGCTTTGGAGACTATTCAATTCCATTCACTGGAGCCTTAATGAAAACTTAATGGACATTTTGGCAGGTCAGTGGTATTATGTTACTGACCCAGTGCTGCTTCGTATGGCTCCATAACTCAGGATGATGATGCATCTCTGTTTGACTGCAAACACCCTGGGAGTCTATTCTTATTCATTAGACTGTGTCCCACTTGGCCACCGACTTCTCTTTGACTGGATAATGTTTGGTCAGTGAGGTGTCCACAAGGAGTCATTATTCAAGTTGAGAAAAGCTCATTACCCTAAGTGATGTCGGGAGTGGGCAACTGAGCTTGGTGGCCCTTGGGAATGGTGTGGTGTATTCTGAGAACTAGGAGTACCCCGAATACCTGTATGTGGTGTAAATATAAAATATTACTGGTCTTGCCATTGCTATCATTGGAGGACTTGTTTGGTCAGTGAGAAGAGATGCTTGTTATTGTATTGTTTTGTGTCCAGTGTGATTGTATACACGGTGGACATCCTATCGACAGCTTGTTAGCTCCCCAGCAAGCAAAATATTGATGGTGAAAGGGCTAAAATCAAGTTTTATTGCTTCTGCCTTCCAACTAAATGAGGTCTGAGTCCATTACCAGGTATCATTTTAAACCTGCTACTAATGACTTCCCCAGAGCTAGGAAAAAAGGGGGACGCTCCATTTCCCCTATCTTAAGTGTCCTTCCCTTCACTCTCTGAACTCACTGAAGTACAGAGTACAATGATTGGTGGCTGGGTACCTGATATGAAGCAGCTATTGGAAAGGTGTACAGACACAACAAACATCTTATCGCAGTGTTAATGACGGTTCAGAAGTGTTGTCTAAAAGTTGGATAAAGCAAAAGCCTATATCGGGAGGATACAGAAACATTATCAGAGAAAATGTATTCAGTTTTCCCCTCAGGAATCACCGCTGTCTCCTGCAAGATAAATTGTGCCGAGGCAACCCTTGGTGTATTTGCAGGTAAAATAAGGGAAAGGGAATAATTTTCTCCTTGAAAATGTAAGAAGTTGACACGAAAATGTAAGAAGTTGACACAAAACCATTCATTGTAGAATCTTAAAATTCCACGCTTTGCTCTTTTTTGCCCCCTTAGGTTAATGCAACAGGTCTAGCACATAGTCTTTCTCTCATCAGGGATGGGGTCAAAGGTAGACATTTACCTGAATTTTGCTGTATGCACATACCATACCATACCATACCATACCATACCACCTTTATTTATAAAGCACTTTAAACAGCACAAGGCCAACCAAAGTGCTGTACAAGAGACAGACACAACAGGACATAGTTAAAATTACAGTAAAATATACAGTCAAAATACAAATAAAAAAAACAGATAAAATAGGAAAAACCATTTTGTTTGAAAACATTTTCCCCCTGAGTATTTTATCCACTTAACTCTGGGGTTAATGTAAACTATGGCTTCCCYTTTTCTTCTGCAAAGTTATAATAAAATTCACTAAGATAAAATGGTTGTGTTTGTCACACTATGTGACCCATCACATAGAACCAAGGATTAAGTTGCAAAGTGGTATGTGGAGAAATCATATACCACAAGAATGGACTGTTTTTATACAGCTCCTTTCTACCCAACCATAGTGCTTTAAAACACAATCTTTGCCCTCATTTAACCATTCACACAGCACTCTACTATGTCTCTTGTCACTATATATTATTCTACAGAGACTAATCAGTGCTTTAGATCACATCCATACACTGGGACACACATCAGAAGCAATGAAAGGTTCAGTGTCTTGCCCAGCGACACTTTGACATGTGACTGAATAATGGTGGAATTGATTCCCCAACTATCTCATTGGAGAGTGATCACTCTAACCACTCACCCACAGCAGCCCCAAGTGCATTGGTTAAAATGTTTGCAACAATTGTTTTATTAAAATATAATGACATACCATATCTATCTTAAATAAAATATCTGTAATGCCCCTCTGAATAAAGCAGTGTTGATCTTAAACCAAACTTTGATTAATTGCCTTCAACTGGATGACAGCAGCTGATGGGAAACTACATTCATAAATAGCATAAAAATAAACAATATACCTACTGTATTTAACTTCTCCTAATAGTTTAAACTGTATCTAGGCTCTGTTACAGAGACGAGCCATGTCTCTTTTTTTACCCCATCTTTCTTGTTGAAGTTATAATTAAGTTGCATGAACTGAAAAGTACGTTTTATGAAAACCTTGGCAAAAGACATCAAACTACAGTTTCTAACAGTGCATTGGTGTAAAGCTCATCAGAGGTGTCGTACTTCGAGTGTTGCATCACAGAGCCGTAACCTAACTTAAGTGTTGACAGGTGCACACTTCCAGTAAATGTGAGGCATGTTGTGCTTTGACAAAAGTCTTTTACTTCACTTTCTTTTATCTCCTTACCAATTAGAGATGTAGATCTGACAGGTTACTCAGCCCTGATAAATCTTTCTTATTCAGGATACGCTCCAATGCTCCTGTAGCTTGGAGTTTGCACTCAGACACCCACACTGCATCACACTGTTGGGTGCTTGAACTGGGTCACATTGTTGTTGATGCCCTGCTTCTCTACGCAACAATAAACTCTCTCTGCCTTGGTTCTGTAAGCCCGCCGCTAAGAGGCTGAAGTTGGCAGCTCTACAAAAGGATGTCTATCCACCGCGTGCCCCTCCAAAAACATCCGTCACCCATTAAATCTGTTGTCACTGCAAGTGCATTCAACTCTTCGGCTATCTCGTTCCTTCTTTTATTGGATCYGTTTGTCTTTTAGGAGATTTTCGTCCTCTGTAATCCAAATGATTGTGTCCACTTTCAGCTCTTTCACATTGATTCTCTTATCCCTCTGAGCTTAAATGGATTCGGTCTTGGCCATGTTTGACTGTGTTTTGCATGTGTTGTCTGGATTAAGACGAGCTGACAGGCGAGTCCTTAGTGATTGAGTCTGAGAAAAATAAAAGTGAAGGTTTTTTTTTTGTTGGCTTTGTATAAAACCCAGGAAGCTGTACTAAAAAAGCCTGTGGCCATTTGCCAAAGATTTGAAGAAAGCAGCACAGACAAGGGTGGCCTAGCTACGTTAGTACCAGCATTCTTCAGGTTTTATACCAAGCACCTGTTACTGAGTGGCACAATTCTTTGCCTCTGTTTTACCAATATAATAAAGGGCTTTATTATAAGAGCTAAGATTACATTAGGCAGTCATTGACATGCTTTTAAACCTTAAGATGTAGTCTAAATACAGATTTGACCTTGAGTCACTTCCAACTAGGTTTGCACATGTAGCATTTATAAATAGATGACAAGTGCACTTACATGTGGCCAACATTGTGGCCTTGGTTCACAGAACTCATGCTTATGTTGGTGTTTCAGGTGGTTAAATCAATGAGTTTGTAGGGTTAACATTAGCTGCTCCACACTACYTTCCACCATTGGGCTCACRTGYGTGCCTGCTAGTAGTGTTGTACACAAAAATRCATCACCATGCGGTGTTAATGGAGTTAATTGGAAAGTGGCAAATGTTCATAGTGTGAATGCTTAAAAAGCACTAAAACTATTGATCTTTTTTTTTCTTCCACACATTTTTCACCACATATCTTGTTCTGCACTTGTTCTGTTTCAACAATTAATATTTCAAAAAGTTGAGCTCCTTTAGGACTGTCCAGCTATGACTTTTGGTACATCAGCAATTTGTAACTTTTAAGCTAATTAGCTGTTTAAGCTGTATTTTTCCTCGTTTAAAATTAGAGCTCTTTTCAACATCTTTGAAACCCTTCAAATCTTTGTTGTGCTCTATACCTTTTTGTTCTAGTTCTGTTTTTTTTTTTTTTTTTGCTTTGTGCTAATTTCAGCTTTCTTCTGCTTCTATTATGCTGAACCTTTTTAGCTTTTTAGTTATTCAATCATCATAACTATTCAGCAAAAATCTTTCAGCATTAAGCATTCACACTGGATTTTGTAGGAAATGGTATTTTTCTAGTTGTTGACAGTTTTACTGACAGTTACTTGCACACAATATGATTTTGCTCAACCCTACTTCCAGCATAAACATTGTAGATAGTAAAACATAGAATTCCTGAGTCAAAACATTTTTATTGTTCATATCAAACTTTCTTTATTGGTGCATTGAAAAAAAAAACAGTTTTTTGTATTTTATGCTTGTTTGGATACTAAAGGTCATGAATATTTTGTCCAGAGAGGGCTGCAGATTTGTTTACCAGGGCCTGACAGTAACCCCCCTGACCAGATGTGAGCAGGACTTATTCAGCATCTTTTTTAATATTCATGTCCCTTCACCTCCACAGGGAGCTGACAAAACCGTAAAAGGACCGAACGGCCTCACTGCCTTTGAGGCTGCTGAGACTGAAGCCATGAAGGCGCTGCTCAAGTGAGACMCCACAGTATCGGAGGCTGGACAGGTGGATGAACAGGTGTACAGATGGATGCAGTGGTCCCCTGACAGAAGATGGACCCCCCTCCCCCTCCTCTTTTACCCTCATCAACCTCTGTCTTAACACTGCTTTTGTCTGTTTGTTGGATGTTCATTTGGTCTGTCTGGTGATTTTCCTTTACCTTTAATTTTTTTTTCTTTGCTTTTCCCCAAGTTTTTTGGGAAAGTCTTTTCTCTGCCTTTGGCCTCTGTCTGTAAGGAGGACATTAAGTCTCCCTCGGGGACCAAATTCTAGAGAAATCCTGTTGAATTTGAATCCTAAAACACTGTTCAGGCTAGAAATCAGACTACACCATAAATGCAGGCTCATCACTTAAATGTGCATCTTAACTTCCGCTGTAAAAAAAAATAAAACAAAATGCTCAATAGTGTGTTAATATTTTCCACAATTTTATTACAAGTATTGTATGGCCAGAGCTTKATCTTGTGAACTAATTGCACTGTGCTATACTAGATAGAATAATAAAGAACGGTTGTAATGTTTCATTATGTAAAAAGAAAATCCTATTGTATTGCTTCTTTATACTTTATTAGACCAAACTGTCTCACATCCCATCTGGAAACTTTTGAAATGTTGGGTTAGAGAATTCAATAGGTCACTTTTTTTTCTTCTTAGCCCTATATCACTCCACATATCAAATTTGTTTGGCAAGTTTGCTTTATTAATAAATTTAAAATYTATGTTCTTTGACCAATCATCATGCTGGTTAACAAGGAGAAAAAACTTGAATGTTGTAGTACTGCTAAATTCCTTTTGAAATAATGCTAACAGCACATATTAGAAACTCTAGAAAGGTMATTTCTTCTTGGAAGTGGGGTTTTTAGAGCAATGATTCTTTTTTTGTTGCRGAGTTCCTTTCTGTTTTATCGACGGGCTCAAGGTTGTGTGAATCATGGGTAAACGGGTTGAAGCTTGATTTTTAGGGAGGRAGGGTGGGTGTTGATGTTCTCCTTGCCTTGGATTTGGTTTGATGCCCTGCCTGTTTTTTTTGCTGCATGTCAAAACTGTCTCTGCTTTATGTTATAAAATGGTTGCTGTCCTCTCGGTTGCTTTCAAATGACATACTAGTATGTAATGGACAAAAAAAAAAAAGATGCTCTCACTGGCTTTGTTGTGACAGAAGTCTGTAAAAAACGAAATAAAAAACTACATATGAAAAATGTGTTTTTGCCATTTGAATATGTTTAACAGGGATGGGTAACTTAAATGATGGAGGGGGCAACAATTCTTTTTGACACATGGCGCGTACTCAAATGTAATAAAACTGCCATTTAAAAAAGGCTTGTATATATGTTTATGAAACCAACATACAGTGCCGTAACATATTTCATGTTCAAATGCATGTATAGCAGTTTTATTGTTTAATAAATCCATATTAAAGTGGAAGAAAAACACTTTAGCAAGCTGAAGTACAATGACATAAGATGCCTTGTGTGCCCGAGCGCCATCTAGTGGCAAACTTTGTCATCACACCCCATTCGGCACAATTTATAGTGCTTTAATTTATATAAAATAATTCTAAGAGGTGCTTTGGGTGTTTTTTTATTTAATAAATATAACATTATACATTGACGGGCCGGACCGAAGTCACTCACGGGCCTGATGTGGCCCACGAACCACTTGTTGCCCTGCACATAACATTTAAAAAAAAAAAGGCATTTTCTTTAATATTTGACAATTATGCCAGTGTTGGTGTAGGGGGATGCTCATTACCATCAAAATTTATCAAGGCACATTATCCTTGGATTTATAGCATGGTTGGCTAAATGAGAATAAACTTTTTGAGAAAAGATGACATGTATAGATTAGAGTTTTTTTATTTTGTATTTTTTATTTTATTTTTAATGAAGGTGAATGTTGTGAGCCCATTTCCCAGAATTCAAAATCAGCTTTGCACAAAGGACAAAGGTGATTTCAGGAGACAGCCTCCAGTTACAATAGCCAATTATGAACCTGGTACAGGATTACAAGGATAAAATGTCCAATCATGCATATATTTTTTTCATTTTTCTGCTCATTTCTTGTAAAGAGACACCGGCTTCCACTGCTATCCAGTGTCGCTGAATCTGATAGTAATTTGTCAGGACAGGAACATCGTGCTGTTTGACAACTTCTGCTTTTGTTAGTCTTGAAGCCTTGAGTGTTCTAATCCGTATTTTCTGAATTTATGCAACTCTGTTCCAAGTATTTAAAAAAAGCCTCTGCTAGCTCTAATCTCTGTTGTACTTGTATGTCGCCCCCAAGCTTTTCTATTAGAAAACAGACTGATTTAGCCTCCCAAAAGAGTCGTCCACATGTCTGGACTTAAATCAGCTGTATATGATAATAAGATCTCTGATACATAAAATATGTTTTTATTCATGGGACTTTAATTCCCAGTAGAGGCTTCCATTATTTGTATGAATGCAAATTTAAAGAAATTTAGCTTTTATAATACAAGGTGGAACACATTGCCTTTTTATTTCGAAGCTTTTAGACATTACTGCCTTATACGTGTTTCTGGAGTCAGCCTTCAGAACATCCTAAACTACAACTCTAAGATGGCTGTCAGTACTTTGTATGTATACAGCTAGGTTCAGTGGCCCAATTCTGTTGTGAGGCCATGCTGTTGTTAAGGAATGCAATATGTGTTATGTCTTTGTGAGGCCTTCCTTGAAAAAAAAAATTCTAATACATTGCATACATTCTAAAACCCTCTATTGATGATGCCTTTCCAGATACAGCGGAAAAAATAAGTATTGAACACGTCACCATTTTTCTCAGTAAATATATTACTAGAGGTGCTAATGACATGAAATTTTCACCAGATGTCGGTAACAACCCAAGGATCCATACATACAAAGAAATCAAACCATAAATGTCCAGAAATGAAGTTATTTGTAATAATGTGGAATGGCACAGGGAAAAAGTATTGAACACACTTACTGAAATTTATCTAATACTTTGTACAAAAGCCTTTGTTGGCAATGACAGCTTCAAGACGCCTCCTGTATGGAGAAACTAGTGGCATGCATTGCTCAGGTGTGATTTTGGCCCATTCTTCCACACAAACAGTCTTCAAATCTTGAAGGTTTCGTGGACCTCTTCTATGAACTCTGATCTTTAGTTCTTTCCATAGATTTTCTGTTGGATTCAGGTCAGGTGATTGGCTGGGCCATTCCAGCAGCTTTAGTTTCTTTCTCTGAAACCAACTGAGAGTTTCCTTGGCTTTGTGTTTGGGGTCATTGTCTTGCTGAAATGTCCAGCCACGTTTCATCTTCATCATCCTGGTAGATGGAAGCAGATTTTTATCAAGAATGTCTCTGTACATTTTTCCATTCATCCTTCCTTCAATTATTTGAAGTTTGCCAGTACCATATGCTGAAAAACAGCCCCACACCATGATGTTCCCACCTCCAAACTTCACTGTTGGTATGGTGTTTTTGGGCTGATGTGCAGTGCCATTTGACCTCCAAACATGATGTGTATTCTGGCATCCAAACAGTTCAATGTTGGTCTCATCTGACCAGACTATATTCTCCCAGTATTTCACAGGCTTGTCTAAATGTTGTGCAGCAAACTTTAAAGGAGCTTCAACATGCTGTTTCTTCARCAGTGGAGTCTTGCGTGGTGAGCGTGCATACAGGCCATGGTGGTTCAGTGCATTACTTATTGTTTTCTTTGAAACAATCGCACCTGCTAATTCCAGGTCTTTCTGAAGCTCTCCACAAGTGGTCCTTGGCTCTTGGACAACTCTTCTGATAATTCTTTTCACTCCTCTGTCAGAAATCTTGTGAGGAGCACCTGGTCGTGGTCGGTTTATGGTGAAATAATGTTCTTTCCACTTCTGAATTATGGCCCCAACAGTGCTCACTGGAACCTTCAGAAGTTTAGACATTCTTCTGTAACCGATGCCATCATTATGCTTTGCAACAATAAGGTTGTGAAGGTCKTGAGAGAGCTCTTTACTTTTACCCATCATCAGATGGTTCTTGTGTGATACCTGGCCATCATTTGGGACTGAACCAGCTGATATTAACTTGCACTGACAAGGGGCAGGCTTTCTTTCTAATTACTGAGAGAGTTCAGCTGGTGTCTTGGCTTTCCATGCCTTTTTACACCTCCCTTTCTTCATGTGTTCAATACTTTTTCCCTGTGCCATTCCACATTATTACAAATAACTTCATTTCTGGACATTTATGTTTGATTTCTTTGTATGTATGGATCACTTGGGTTGTTACCAACATCTGGTGAAAATTTCATGTCATTAGCRCCTCTAGTAATATATTTACTGAGAAAAATGGTGACGTGTTCAATATTTATTTTACCCGCTGTATACCCTGTCAATTCCATTGGTTTTAATGCATCCCCATACAATCAGAGAGGCAGGCTTTCACGCTGTGTTAATAACAGGCTGGTCTTTCCTCTTTAACACAGAGGATACGGTGTCTGTGGTTTCAAAAAAAGATTTGCAACTTTTCATTGTGTTAAAATTCTTCCCAATAATTATGCACAGGAGCAGTACTGGTGCCCACGTTTAGCTGACAGGACAGAAGCTGATTCAAAGTGAAAACTTGCAAAATAATTGCTTTAAAGAGGAGCATCCACTCTTCAGAAGTGAAAATTGCCAACGTGTTGTGTCACTTCACTCCMACATCCCTGTAATTCAGCCAGTCACTTCAGAAACCTTAAAGATGTTGAGCAGAATTTTAAAACCCGCATGCATTAGAGCCTCGCCCGTCGGCGCGACTTAAAAGCGTTAATGGATAATCCCGCCGAGGCCATCCGTGTGTTGGAGGCAAACCGGAGGAATCCACAGAAGGTGTGTGACAGAGCTGCCGTGTTCGGCAAATAGTTGCATCAAGTCCGGTCGAGTGATCGCGCCTGCAGGAAGACAGCAGACGGGGGACGTGGCGAAGAAGGTGATGTGCAGACAGTCTAGGGCAGGCGCCACGTTCAGGCCAACGTCGGAGAACAAATACAAATCAATTACAGCTGTGTGGTGAAACGTCAGTGTGAAATGACTGGGCTACATTTTGACAGCTTCATACCCCCCCACCACCCCACACACACAGACACACACTCACAGTCCATCTGATTTGCTCATTTAAATTGCATCCAAAGTGAACAACAAGGGAATACTGAGGTCCATTCCTGGTTGACAGAGACATTCTTGCATAATCGAAGATGCCCAGCACCCCCCAACCCAACAAATAACTTTGAGGCCTGCAGAAGAAGGCATGGCTGAGGCTGATGATAAATGAGAAATACATGAGCACACATTCTCATGGATTTATTGCTTGGATTTTTGAAGCTTTAGAGCAAGGGTGTCTAACGTGAGCATGATGGTTAAAATTGAATTGGACGTTTCGTGTTTAACAGAAACGTCACGTTCCTGWGCATCGCTAACAAACAATAAYTGAGCTCTACGTGGTATTTCATGCACATAAACAGCATTTAAGACATCTTCTTATAAACACTGAAGAGTACTACATGTAAGACTGACTAAATGTGAAATAAATGCTGTGGTGGATCACGTTTGGCCTACGGCCCTTAAATTTGACACGTGCTTTAGAGCATAGATTAACATGTGGGCCGCGAGCGCCACCTTGAGGGCCTCAACAGAACAACAGTTTTTGACTTTGGGCCGCAGAGGGCCGTAGGACCGCATTGATTTTGATAAAAGTGCAATACACTTTCTCACCACTAGTAGCGGTAGTGCACCACTCAGTTGTTTAACAACATTTTTAATATGTTGAAGAAGAACCTTAGAAACCAACCAAAAATGGAAACATATTTTAAATTAAAAGTAGAAGCATAAATGAAAGCAACTCATCAAAAAACACCAAAGTTTGTCACTAATATGAAGTACAGCTTCTGGTTCTATCATGCAGTATTTTAAAAGTTCAAAACATGATCAAATACACAACAAATAC